CCAGAAGCTATCCATAGCCCATAGCTCCTCAGTAAGGGTGGGGCCAGGAGATGGTCTGCCCTTCTATGCCCCCCATCTATGGTGGGATTGTGACTGGCTTGGGCTAGTGTAGGTCTTGTGTGGGTAATCACAGCTGCTGTGAATTCATTATTGCAATGGCTCTCAGGTCCAGAAAACAGCACTTCACATGGCCACCATCCTCTGGTTCCTAAAATCCCACCATCTCTTCTTTTGCAATGTTCCCCAAGCACTGGTGGTGGTAAGGGCTAATAGAAATGTCCTATTTTTAGGACTGAACATTCGGTCTCTTATTGGCTGCTGTCCACTGCAAAAAGAAGATTCTTAGACCAATTTGATAGCAGCCAAGATCTATGGGTGCAAATGTAAATATTTAGGATGTTCTTCGGCACAGACATTTAGCAAAATAATAATAGTAAGTTCTACCCTGGTGCCTAAAAACTCCGAAGCCATGGGCTTTTGATCAGAATTAGACTCAGCAGTTGGTAAGAAATTCCCCTCCCATGCAGCATGTCTCAGATCCAGTCAGAAAGTGATTGTCTCATAATTGTTGGGCCACTTGTTTTAGGGTTTTTATTGCTGTTAGAGACACCATGACCACAGTAACTTTTGTAAACAAAACATTTAACTGGGGTGGCTTGCTTTTAGTTTCAAAGGTCCAGTCCCTTATGACAGGGAGCACGGAGGCATGCAGGCGGAAGTGGTTCTGGAGCTAACAGTCCTTACATCTTGACTCAGAGACAAAAGTAGACTGTCACACTGAATGAAGCTTGAGAAAAGGACTCCAAAGCTTACCCTCACAGTGACACATTTCCTCCAACAAGACCACACCCAGTACAACAAGGCCACACCTCCTAATGGTACCACTTCCTTTGGGGGCCATTGTCTTTCAAGCCACCATAGCACTATTGTACTAGTTGGCTCAGTAAATATTGTAGCATTCATAGTCCAACATTGGTTAACACCATTGATGTCTTTTTCCCCAGCAGCTTACAAAGCACTTTCCAGTGCTGTGAAAGCTAGCCTAGCATTGAGCAAGTTTACTGTCTAGCTTGAGATTGATGTCTCTGTGTCCTGTAGCCAAAACATGTGGTGCCTTCAGCAGTAGGGTCTTAATTTTGTAGTTATGTTGGTTAACCAACAAGAGTGGCAATAGCCTGTGTTGTTTTGGAGACTTGTGGGGCTTTCATGGTGAATTATTTGTAAAGAGATATCCCATACTTGGATTCTTACCTCTCACCACACCAAAATTAAACTTCAAGTGGATCCAAAACCTCAACATAAGACCTGATAGCCAGAAGTTTCTGGAAGAAAAGGTAGGGAGAATGCATCAATGTGTAGGCATGGATAAAGGAGAACTGTCTCAGTAAGATGCCAATAGCAAAGCAAATACTACCAGCAGTTGGCAGATAGGATCTCGGGAAGCCTAAAACCTGTGTACAGCAAGGGAAATAGTGAAGTGAATGAATAGGCAGTCAATAGAAAGTCTTTGCCAGATAGTTGTCTGACAGGGTTAGTGTCTAAAATATACAAAGAACTAAAAATACCTAACCCATAAGAAAATAGCCCAGTTTAAAGATGGACTATGAAATGAAAAAAATTCCAAAGAAGAAATACAAATGGCTAGGAAACACTTTAGAAAGTGTTCAACATCTTTCACTATCAGAGAGATACAAATTAAAACTTCTTTAAGATTGCATCCCACCGCAGTAACAAGGGCCAACATCAGCAACGCGCATGACAAGTGCTGGTGGGAAAGAGGAACTGTTGAGGAGTGTAAACTAGTGAAACCACTTTGGCAGTCAGTCTGGAGGTTTCGCAAAAACTAGAACTAGAACTGCCTTGTGACCTAGCTATGCCAATCCTAGGCAAATACACAACAGTCCGTATCCAACTATAGAGATACTCAGGCACCCATCCTCTTTGCTATTGTATTCACAGTAGCTAACAAACAGCCTAAATGTTCATCACCAGGTGAATGGGTAAGAAAAATGTGGCCTGTATACACTCTGGAGTAGTTACTACTCAACTATCAAGAAAAATGAAATTTGCAGGTAAATAGATGGAACTGGGGAAAAATGATATTGAGTGACAAATGCTGCCTCTTCTCTCTCATGCACTTCCAAGTATTTTATTTTGCATATTTAAATTGGAGTGCAAGTTGAGGTGGGGAAACTAGAAAGACCTTTTGGGGGCATGTGAAGGAAGGAAGATAGTAGGTTACAGGTCAAACCTGAGTTGGAGATGAGAGTGGGACAGAAGGGCTTAGGCAGGGAAGGGTGTGGGAATGTGGGGGAAATGAAGGGTGTAAGGACAGGCTACCCAAAGGACGGGGGTGTGGAAAAGCATAGGGGAGGCTGCAACCCATGTTTACCAGCTGTGGAATACAGAACACATGTCAGAAGAAAGAGGAGGGCAACAATGAGGGCGGGCTAAGAGATTCAGCAGGGTGGGAAGATGGGGAGTCAGGGAGGGAAGCAGGTAGTGGGTGGGTTAACTAAAACTAAGGATGTGTGAGGAAACCCTATAGAAACCCAATTATTAAGCTCATTTCCAAATAAAACAACAACAAAAGAGTTTGAACAGAGCTATCACAAATGGCTGGACAAGGTCCCTCACTGTCTTTTGCCAGTTCTTCCCTGCCCCCCATTGGGGTTTTCAAGATGAGGGTTTCTCTGTTTGACCTTGGTTGTCCTGGAACTCCCTCTATAGACCAGGCTGGCCTCAGACTTGCAGGGATCCACCTGCCTCTGCCTCCTGAATGTTGGGATTAAAGGCGTGCGCCACCACCACCCAGCTTGTTAGCTAGACTTCAAACTTTGGTTTACCCTTTGTCAGCAAGATATCTACATGTTGCTGAGAATTTTTACAGCTCATTAGCTTGTTTCCCTTATGTTAAAAGTCACTCACTGTAGACTTCTGCATCCAGCTGTCATTATAATATACTTTTCCTCAATCCAGTACTTGTCATAGGTTCAACGTATCTTAGGCTCTCATCTGACAACTTAGTGTGGCTTTGCTGTCTCTCAAATATTATGATATTCTTCATAAAACCTGTCACCCTCAGTGGATGCCATCTTTCAAATGTCTTATACTCCATTACCTTTTGCACAGTTTCTGAGGCATTTGATTGATTTCTATGAGATTTGTGATTGAATATTCAAAGAAGACATGTTCAGAAATAGCATTAACTCTGTTTTTTTGGGTTTCTCCTGAAGATAAAATCGCTTCTTGGATCACTTTTTTTTATCATTTACAAGGATGTTTTTTTAAATTTATTTTAGATTCTCTTTAAAATACAAAGTAAAATTATTTTAACTACATGCATTTTGCTGTTTTAAAGGAACATATTCATACAGAAAAGAAAATAAGTTAATTCTCAGTGAATAAATAGTTACGTTTTTTTTGGTAAGTGAACAGCCCTCTGGTCTTCCTGATGCTGTATCCTTACCTTTAAATGGCAAGTCGTTCTTCTGTGACTTTAAATGTGGCTTATTCTTGTTTGTCACTTGAAGTAGAAATCAATTCTTAGAACTCCTATATCCCCTGCTAAAAAAATAGTCTGTGGCTTCTAATGTTAACCACATCCATCTCAAATGAGCCTGCTAAGTTTCCTGATTTAAGTGATTTTATATTACAAAAATCTGAGATCTAATATTAAGGAGTTATAAATTCTGAAATCTGTCAGTACATATGTCCATGTGTGAATTTGGGTAAGTGTATAAATGTTTATTTGTCTTACATAGTAGGCTCCTACCATGTTTATTTACTTACTTAAGTTTCCTTCCCAATCTTTGGGAATGAGTGTGCATGAATTCTCCTCTTATTCTAGAATACAGAAAGAAATAAAAAAGTTTACTGATAGTTTGAGTTTTGCTATAACGCTGGGTCTCCTAACATCTTCAATTGACTTTCTTGCTTAATTAGTTGTTTTGACCCTGCTATCAACACAGATGGCCATACTTCTCCTGTGTGAGGCTAGAGGGGAAACTGGGTGGCCCACCCGTGTTCCACTGCTGATGGTAGTGTCTTGTTGGAGCTGATAACTCAGAACTGTGATGACAGTCACTGTGTCTCTGGAACTTTGGGGGGTTTAGAAGTCATGAGCCCTACTCAGCAGTTCATTCTTTAGCAGCAGGCAGTACTCTGTTTTCTTTGGCTTTTTCTCCCAGCGAGTATTATAAGCCCTGATTACTCTCTTCTGCTCGCTTGAGCCATAATTCAGTAGAAGCTATTTTCACCCCAGGAGATTCGGATAGTAGTTGTGTGATTGAGAACAATGTCTTGAAGTGCAAATGGCTAGAATTTGATGCAGCAAGTCTGATGTAGACTAGCGTTGTTGTCCTTATAGACAACTCACTGAAATAAAAAGGTTTGTTTTTTGTTTCATTGTTTTTTATATGTTTTGAGTTGCATCATCATTAAGGCTAACTTCATTAAGTGATAATGATTTTTGTCTCTGTAGAAAATCAAGCTTATCAACTACAACCTACATACACTTAATGGGGTCATTAATTTATTTAGGTGATATCAAGGAATTCCATTATATTCACATTTAACAGAAATATTTTTAAAGTGTATTCCTTTTTGTGTATGTGCTTCATTAATTGCTAATCAAATAGCTGGATCATGTTGAACCTGACTGAAGAGAAACAATAGTTATTTAGATCTGGTATTTATAATTTGAAACCTTCAGAAAAATGACTGCTCAGCTGCTTGCTTAGCAAGTCCTTTCTATATTGATGGTATGTAAATGGGATGAGCAGAAATTCTGACTCTTTGGGGTTTGGTGGGTAGATGGTTGTCTAGACCAACCTCTGGGATGGAATAGTCCTTAGCTTTGCTGAAACACGGAAGTGAAATGACCTTTATAAACCCTGGGTCCCTTTCTTAAATCTGGTGGTGAAAAACAGGGAGCAAAGATGTAGATATATAACCAGAAAAAAATGAAACTATGCTACAAAGAATCTGTTATATTTCAGGTCCTCCGGGGAAACGAGGAAAGAGAGGTCGAAGAGGAGAGTCTGGTAAGTAACTACCTTGTGTTACTCAAGTTCTGGTGTAGTAGCAATGTTTGTTCCTGTTAGTTAGTGGTGCTATTCCCATGTTGGAAAGTGTGTGTATGTGTGTGTATGTTGGCACTTCTAGACCTTGAATTTAAGACCCTAATTTCCAACAAATTCTAAGAAGGAAGTATTAGCAAAAATGTTGTCCATTATGGTTTACTAACTACAGACACTCCTACCCTCTATTTTTTGCTTGCTCAGTGATCAAAGTCAACCCAGCTGTGTTCCTTGGTGGGATTCTCACCCACACATGGTATGGCAATGTGACCATGTGTTCTTTCTCTGGGTGACCAGCATGGAGGTATTTATTTGTCTTAGCACTTTAAGGAGAACACTTTGGAAGGCTCTATTATTTTACCCAAGTGGCAGTTTGTCATACTGCTCTGCCATTCTTAAGGACTGTAGGGGCGGCTCCTGGTATAGACACAGAACTTTGGTGATGGAGAGCAGTGTCATTAGTCAGCCTGAAGTTTCCATGTTGTCAGTGAGGACATGGAACAGTGGACTGAATTGCCCAGGGATATTGCAATCCTTTCTCCTGATTCCCACTTCAGTGGTTTGTGCTTTCAGGACAAATTCCTTATAGGTAAAGTAAAATAGAAAAGGCCAAATTAAGGTATTTCTCAAACCAAGATACAGTGATAAGGGAGGTCAGTTACTGCTCTAACTCTTAAGATGTCTGAGTTGTCAAGAGAGTCAATGTCTAGAGGCTTTCTTATGAGAACATCAGTTCTTTCATGATGACTCCAGCATGTTCTGGAATGGGGTTTTCTACTAGCTAGTGTTAGTATTAACAATAGTTAAGAAAACCACTGGCCAGGCGTTGAAATAGTAGCACCTTAGCTTGTCAGGAAGAGCAGCCAGTAGGTTGAATCAGGGACATTCCATTTCCTCTTTGCCTTAAAAGAAAAATGGTAAAGTGAAAGAAATTGTGAAAATTCATCAACCAGGAAGGATGGTTGCTGATTTCTGAGTATTTCTCAAGAGCTGTGCCTAGGTCTCCCTGAATCTAGATGGCTGGATGGAGTTCATAATAGAAGCTTTATCACGGCCTTTAAAAATTAAATGTTAGGATTAGCATGCACAGTAATGGGACTCATTTTGGCATCTTCATGCATATGTGTTACGACAGTTTGTTCTCATTTGTTTGACTTGCCTGTTACCTGCCCCATCCTATGCTTCCCCCACTCCAGCTGGTTCCCCCACACACATAGTTTTGAGGGAAAAGAAATGATAAAAAAAAATTACCAAAATATTCTTCATCAAAAGATTAGGAGGAAGATGAAAATTATGTACTCATGCAAAGTTCTATAGACAAGATAAAAATCACCTCCCAACTGCCTATTCACTTAGAGTTGGTGTTTGGAGCGTATTTCTGTAAACTACAGACATGTTCTCAGTTTTTGCCTGTGCTCAGACTTGAAGAAACCTCTGGAGACCCTAGGACTGGGCTTGTATGCACGGGCAGAAGCGTTGAAAGAAGGTTGTTCTTCAAGGAAAGCCTTGCTGATTTGAGCATGTTTATCAAGTTCAGTTCTCAGGAGTAGGCTATCAAAAGAAGTCAAGATTCTCCTGGCTCATATTTTACTTAGACTCATGTATATCACACAGTTTTATTTCAAGTTCCCTGGGCCTCTCAGCTACACATGAGTAGCTTTGGAGAACCCAAAAGTTTGTCCAAATCCTATGCACAACTTGTATCTGGGGCTAAATTTATTTTTTCTGTCATCTCAAAGTCTGTGATGTAAAGAGACTTGAGAATCACTGGGTTCTAAGTGCCCTTTGTACTTAGTATTGTGATGGTGGTTGTGATGGTTCATTATATTAACTAATTTAACATTTACATCTACTGATTTCTCTTTCTCTCTCCCCACATCCTGCCCACAGGTCCTCCTGTAAGTATTGCCTGATTTCGGCCCTCCACATTAATCAGGATCCACGTATGTTAAAACCTTGTTAAAAACAGATATGGTTGATGCTCCATTTGGAAAATGTGACTGACCTTTTATGAATGTTTAAATGTGTAAAATGATTTCCTTACTACACATTTTTGGGTCATGTGCTATGTTAGAATGCAATATTGGGGGTGGACTATGTTTTTTATGTTGTCACACACTGATTACTCTCTCGAGACTTTGGGGTAACATATGAAGCTTCTGGTTTTGAGTCCTTTTCCTGGAATTCTGAGGTTTTCTTTTGCAAGCAAGTCTCCAAGCTATTTCACACTTCTTTTTTCATCTGTTGAAACTCGTGTCTGAGCTATTTGGATTTGCCGGTCTACCAAATGTAGATGGCAACATGATCATGGAAGTGATATCCCCTGTGCGGCCGGGGCCAGTCCTCCCCTTCTTAGGCAGAACTCCCTTTGAAGTCTGTTGGAGCCTTGCCTGCATAAGGAGCCTGAGACTCGGTCCTTGGAGAGTTTGTGCTCCTTTCTTTCCTCGAGTAGGTCATAACTGTGGCATTCCAGTCTGCTTTGCACTCACAGGAATAGATTATCTTGTCAGCTTTGAGCCCAATGCATTTTTGAGTAATATCCTGGCTATCTGCTGTCTGACCCTGGTGTTTATGCTGTGCACTGGGCCTTTTCAGTAGCAACGATTGTTAGCCTTGAGATAGTTTCTCATCCCAGATTGTACATTGCCAATTTATCTGAGGCCAGCACAGTCCAGGGAGAGGGATTAGCACACACTTGTTGACTTGCTCAAAGGAAGCATTGGCTTCTAAATATCTTTTGCAGTCTTCCTGCCATGTTCAAGGATGGGACATGAATCATGTTTGCAATGATCTCGCTACTGTGACTGACTTATCTACTCTTGCTTAATGCTAGGTAGACAGTGTGACCCAGGTCTAGAAGCCTTTACTCTCTGCCTTCATATTTAAGCTTCTGTCTTTAAAACTCAAAACAAAACATGACTGCCCCAGAGGAAACTCCCTAGGTTACAGGGTGGGCAGTAACATGTTTAATGCTTCTTTCTATGGAATTTGTATTTGTCATACAGATTGAGAAGTTAATTCTCAAGTCTGCATGATGGTGACCTTTAAGATGCAAGCATTTCCTCTTTGATCCATTAAAACAGCTGTAGGCATATTACCTATGTTTGCTTGGGCTATCTCTTAGTCCAGATTTTCTGCTAAAAGATTTTGTATGTCTTTTCTTACTGTATAGAAAAAGAAAGAAAGAACTTACTATGTCTCAACTATTTGGTGAGCAATTGTAAAGGTACTTTGTACACAAAGTGTCATGTTTATTCATAGCAACCCTCTGGTATAACCAGCCCCATTTTCCAGTGATGAAACTGAGGTTCATTGAGATTAATTCCGTTAGGCTGCAGAGCTAAGGACTTGTGAAGTTAAAATTCAGTTGGATACATCTAATTTTATATCCTTTCAGCTTCATGCTTAGTTGTTGATGAATTCTAAGTGTGTTATAATACAGACCATTGTTATATAAAGTAGGCAGACCATGTTTAAATCACATTCCCCGGCATTAATAATTACATACAATAAAAGTTTGGTCAGTCAATGTAAAATGGCTGCATTATAAAGCAAGCATGATCCCCCCCCCACACACACACACATACATACACTCTACCTTGACTTCATTTCAAACAAGTCATGATGAGGGCAGCAAACTACTTCAAAGACATAAATTGTGGCCATGTGTGTTCATGCAGAGTAAGAGAGAAGTCAAATTGTTCACATGAAGGTTAGATGATAAACCATTTGTAGTAGCTTAAATGAGAAATGCCCCCCCATAGGCTTAATCAGATGAACACTTTGTCCCCAGTTGGTGGCACTCCTTGAGGAGTTAGGAGGCACAGCCTTGCCAGAGGGAGTCAGTTCAGCCTACCTGTGCTTCCGTCACGCCTCCCCACCTCGATGAACTCTTATCTCTTTGAAACTATAATCCAGAATAAATTCTTCCCATAAGTCACTTTTGGTCCTGGTGTTTTATCACAGCAATAGAAAAATAACTGGTACACTAGTAGTGGAAAAAAGAGGAGAAAATATGTAGACTCTGCAGCCTCTTTTAATGCAATGGAGTTGTGCCTTATTGCCTATGATGTGGTACTCTTCTGGGTGAAATTATCTCATAGTGAAATTCTGTTGAGCCTATCATTTTTAACCCCCCATCCAGGATTTCTAAGGAATATCCATCTTCCATCTAATTTTGCTTTATAATAAGTAGTTTTATAGGCAATTTCTATGGCATGACTTATATCTAAATAACTATTAATGAATAGTGGCACTATTATGATTAGATAGACTTACTATCAATGTATTTATCTATAGACAGCATCCAACTATTGGCAACTTTAATGTCTGGTGGTCTTTATTTCCTATTTTAAGCATCATTTCAATTTTATATGTACTTTTTCTTTTATTCATTTTCATGAGCTGAAGTCTAAAGTTTAGAAAAACTTTATTTCCCTAATTTGTGTCTTTAAAATGTGCTCTGCTATCTCCACAAGTAAGAAACTGCTTCCCGTGTAGATATCAAGGTATGTTACTATTTTAATCACACGTGCCTCTGTTTACATTCTGTATTTTTCACATGATGGCCACAGGTAGTCTGATAAATTGATAGTCTTGCTTCTGGTGGGTAACCCTTGGCACAAAACCTATAGCAAGGAAGTCCTCCAGAAGTCTTTGTTGCTGGCCTCCTCGGGTGCTAGGGCTTCCTGTGAACAGAATACTGAGGAGAATTCTTGCAACCTTTTGTGCATTTTCTTGCCCTTCACTTTAATTTCATCATCAGAAATACTCAGTATCAAGGGCAGCATTGGGCACGTTGCAGTGATCTACAATGTGTTGACTGACCCAAGGAAGGATGGCATTTCTTACTGTCTTTTGTTCTTGCTAAAACTCGCCTGTTTCTTATTATCCTCTTCCAGTAATAGTCTCAGGGTTAAAAGAACAAAATTAAAAAAAAAACACAATTGATGATAAAATGTATCAAATTCTCACTTAAATCTTCATTTGATACATTTTGGAAAACTTGGATATAACACACTAGAATGTGTGGGTATACATAATTACATGCTTTTCTTGTCAGTTCCTATATTTTTATATATTGAGGTTATTTGTAATTTAAAACTTGAAATGCAACTTGAACTAGATTTCACATATCAATTTATAGTAAGCTGTTAAGCCTTAATGCATTTTGACAAAAATATTTATAAGCAACTGAAATGGAGCAATTTTATGATTATAAGTGTGATTTTCCTGTTTTTCTATTCATCTACTTTTTCTCTCATGGAGGTAACACTTGAGAATCCTGCTCTAAGGACCTCCACGCAGATGCTTTAGGCTTCTAGCTCTGAGAATACAACTCGAGCGATATGTTAGACCATTGTGTTTACTACGGAAATTTACTTTGGTTTTGGATAGTGTGTGTGTGTGTGTGTGTGTGTGTGTGTGTGTGTGTGTGTGTGTGAAAAAAGGTTTTTTTT